GATTTTCTGTTCTAAATAAAAATAATAGCGTCTCTGATGTGATAAAAGTTGTCAAAAGACCAATCTAATCGCGAAATCGTGCTTCGGCAGCTGTCATAAATCCACCGTTGTTTACTCGCATTTGCTTACTCGCGAGTGTTTCCCCGCGCATTTAGCGACAGGTCTGATCGACGAGTTTGCCAGTGCGACTTCGCTTCGACGATATATACAGGGCCTCTACCTTCGGCCTCGATCGACCCACCTAAGCCGCGTTACTTCTGACATGTGATAGATGGATGCACAATGGAAGAACACGCGTGCGCGCGTGCGTGTTACCGCCGTCCGGATGTGTGGGTATCAACGTAGGTGGATGAGGATGAATGGCTCTCGTCAAACGGAAGGGACCGCCCGCCGTTTCGCGCCATAATACTCGTCTGCGTAAGAGGCATATAGTAGGTCGGCTTATTGATGACCACGCGGCTACTTACTTACGAGAGAACAAGATATCTACCAAGAGAGAGAAGAAAAAGAGATCCGACAAGAGTAGCCTGTTACCCGGCCAAGTAATGCGGTTCGCGTAATTTGTAATTTTAAAGAAAAGATTTTGGGAGAGTTTAAAATATAATATCGATTATTCGTTAGATTTCAAAATAGATTGCAAACTATCTTCTTTAAATACACTTTATAAGAGACTCAATGAGAGACAAGATTTAACTTGCAGAAAAGAAATTAATATTTTGACAAATATGTAACCTCCTAACAACTTTGTCGAAAAATCTTATTAGATATCGAATCTTTTTCGCACACGTATTGATGTGTGAGATTCAACATTTTTAACTTTATAAAAAGAAGCGTATATATCCGCAGAGTGGTTCACAACATATACAGTGATAAATACGCGATGATTATATATCTTTCGTGCAATAAATTGTTTGATGCTACGCCTACATTTGCCGCGTTTATTGACTCCCCCTCGCGTCATCGTGAAACCGGACACGTTATCTTTATAAAACTCGCCGACTTCCTCGGCCGTGAAAGCGTTAATCGCGGGCGATCTTTCTCGCATATTATTTTCCGCCTGCCAGTCGCATTCCTATGTATGTAAAAAAAAAAAGAAAAAAAAAAAAAAAAAAGAACACAAAGAAAACCATCGTGGTGTAAAAACGACGATTGAAAGCGCACGATGACAGCTAGCGAGAGACTTTTTAATTGCGAATCGATTTCGACATGCATCATAAACGCTTCGCGGGAACGCACTATATGTACACGACCTACGCATTTATCGGAGAGAACTCTCGGAAGAGATTTCGCGATGATAATGTCTGACATCTATCATCGAGAAATTATGGCTTATTTCCTTTTATTCGCGATGTCACTCTATCATTATCACGTTATCTGACAATTTATCAATACGTGAACGCCAATTGGGAAATTAAGCAACACCGGTCATGGCATCGGCAAATGCTGATATAAAGAAATCGAAAGAAAATGTCTGAAGCGAAAACAAGAAGCTTCTGTTAGAAAGAAAACATTCTTATGTTTAGCACCTAAAACAATGAAACCATACTCCACGCAGGATTCTCTTATTTCGGTATTGGTCAATCTGCCATTTTCAAATCAATTAGATTTTTTATCTTTGAATAATCGAAACGGAATAAAATTTGCTCTATTGATAGAAATAGAAAATTGTTGAAAGAAATTCCATGATTCAAATAAATATGCTTAACAATTAATCCTCTACTCTAATATATTTATATTTTCAAATATATGAGATATATTATGTCGCAAAATATTTATACAAACTATATTTATACATTTAATTTTAAAACAAATTCATAATTTTTCTTTACACGAGCAATGAAAAATTTATTGAAAAAATTAGATAAATGTAATATCTTTGTAAAAGTACTATTTGTAAAAAAAATGATCTCTAGAAAAATACTTATTTAAACAACTCACACATAATTTCAGAATGAGAAGCTTGTAATCAACTATATTAATTTAAGAAAATTGAAACTTTTTTTATAAGAACACTGATATTTTAAATTTCAAAGATTTGAAATCAAGATCAATAATTTAATGATGTTTAGAGATATTTAGTGATTTGATATGATACTGTGATTATCGAGATACACATAATATGCAATTCTGATAATTTAAAATTATTATTAAAATATATATACATATATTAAACATCCTATTTAACAATTACATTATATTATATTAATTTTAATCCAACTTTAAATTTTCAAATACGTGTATGCAATCTCTGTAAATATATTTGGCATAGAGAAATCTTAGTCCGGTCAATATTTAATTGCATTCGATTGCATTTAATTTAATGCGACTTCTAAACGCGTCTCGTGAACGATATGCAAAAAACGAAAATTGTCGGAACGACACGAGAGAGAAAGAGAAAGAAAAAGAGAGAAGGAGACAATAACCTGAAATAAAGCGAGACAGACAAAAAAACCTTCAGCGGAGTGCCGATGCGAACAATGGTCGCCACAAATCAACGGGATTATGCCACTATTTCACACATGGATATGACCGACTCACCTGATAAATCAAGCTGTCGTTCGGTCACAATAAACAATAACATTTGGACGCCGGCTGGCGGGACGGCTGGTGCGACTCTTCTTCACTTAACTCGGTCATTCGCGTTTCGTGTCGCGTCGCGCAACGATCGCGCGTGTTATTTCGCCGTCCTCGGCCCTTTCGAATGCGTGCCGCTCCGCGCGATAATAAATCGATCGACGAACGATATCGCAATGGACGCGTGCAAGAATGCCAGAGAGAAAGGCTCTCTTTACTGCTACAAAATAGTACAAAATTTACGGGAGAATCGATTTCGCACATTTGTTTTGCTCCTTGCGATGAATCGATTTTGTCAATTCTTCTCGTTTATACACGTTATATAGTGACAATTCTTTTAACAATACTTTTAATAGATATTTCTACATATATTTCTTAAGTTATTTTAAATATCAATTTAAATAAAAATTAAAGGAATTTTATGTCAAGCATTCAAATTGTTTTAATTACGAAATTATCTATATAATTTAAAATAATCAAAGAAAATAAAAAAATTAAAAACCAAGTATTAAAAATTTAGATAAGAAATTAAAAATCGTATTTCCTACTTATATAATTTCATAATATTCATTAGAAAATCACATAAAGATTTATAGCCTTTTTCATAAGACAGGTCTTTATTTACATATTTATTTGTTATATATCTGCAACATTCTAAATGCTCTTAAATATTAATTAAAATTGCAGTTAATAGGTTCTAAAGTAAATGTATTTTTAAAAATGAAGCAAGACCCCCCTCATCCCAAACAACTGTACTGAACGCATTTAATATTTTATCAACATGTTTAATAATATTATTTTGCTTGCATTATACGATTGCGAGAGTTAATTTGACGAAAGTAATGTTTCGAAAGGAAAGTATTTATATTTGCACGGATTTGATACGATATATTGTATCTGCGTACAACTTAATTTTTCAATAATTTTATATTACTTACTTGAATAATGCCTGAAGTTCGTATATAGAATTTGACAAAGTTGCCCTATCATCATTATCCATACGATATACTATAATACATCCATATAATAAAACAATCGTCCGACTCTTTTTTCGACATTTCCGACATTGTCACTTAAAATCACAATTCAAATATGTATGCAGTAAGGAATTTTTAACATTGCACTATACTCACGACTGTGTAGCATGTTATAATATTAATGGTACCGATGAAATATTTTGCTTTTCAACCTTTATGATGCTCTATCGCGATTAAATGTATCGACTCACGATTCCAAACTTTTCATTTCCGACACTAATAGTGCTCTCACATTCGACCGATTAAATCTATACAACAATCGTCTCGACGTCACAAATAATTGTGCACGACAGACTGCGATGAGACCAACTGACAAAATGTGCGCGAAAACGAATGTTCCGATTCCATTGAAACAATGTGGTCTGATTCCGTGATTTTGTACTATGCGAATCAAATACGACTGTCGCAGTATGAATTTTTCTTTTACTTGAAAGCTGATTTTCATTATTAAACGCGACATAAACGTGATATGTATATATCGAATGCTAATATATTATGTAATCATTTTTGTCACTAGTTAATTAACAAACGTGTTGCATTATTCATTAGATAAATTGATGTTAGGTTTAGATAAATTGATTGCTTTTTTCGTAATATTATAGATTGATTGCGTGAATAACATGTCCGAACGTAACACATAGTAAAAATTAGAAAATTTTCGATCTAATCTTTGTGATCGTTAACACAGTACTGACTAAACGAGAACGAGAGACTATTGAAAATGTATATAAACAGACCGTGCGTACGTGGTGGAAAGGGAAGGGAAAGATCCTCGGAGCTCGACCGTTTGTTTACTATAACGTAAAGGGATACGACAGTACGAATACAGCTGATCCGTTTAGACATGTAAACAGATGGATTGCTCGTGCATTAATTTCTATTAAATGCGACATTAATATATGTATACATATATGTTTACGTATATGTTCGTATATCATGTTAATAATATAGAGCACGAATATCATATAGATATAATTTGTATATTAATAATTATTATAACAAATGTTATATTCATTAGATGATTATCACCCTTGATAGTATTATAGATTGATAGTCTATACAATGCATCTAAATCTATGACACGATAAACATCATGAAAAATTTTAATTTGCACAATAGTCGAGACAGATTGTATAAATAACTATAAAACAGTACGATTTTGGGTAATATTGTGTATTTGTGTGTGTAAAACACAAATCTTTTTTAATTTTAAAATTGTCTCTCTCAAGTAGGGAAAAGGTTACAATGGATTTCTTCATAGGGGAGCTCGGATTTTAATTTAAAGGTTCATGTTACACGCACAAAATACATAATATTGTAAAGTGTCGACAAAATCGAATAGAATTTTCACACAATAATACCCAAAAAATAAAAATTGATGAAACTCACCGATGCGGTGCGCAGCAACGGAGTTGTAAACTGTAAAATATAAATACATGGAAATTAGTATAGTGAAATTAGTACTAGTAAATTTTAAAATAAATGATATTTAGCAAAATAAAATTATTATTTACATTGAGTTTTTTTATTTGATTTATTAAATAGATATATTTAATTAAAAATATTACATTATTTTTATCAACTATTTTTTTAGATATAAACTTTTCTTAAACTATAGTAAGCAAAAATTTAATTTTTTTAATACAAAATCTACATAATTTTTTTATAAATATGCAAATAAATTTGACTAATTTATAAATTGACTAATCTATTAAACACTTAACAAGAAAACATTATATGTATATATAATATTCTGTATTATGAAATAACGTACAAAATATGTACCATGCAGTTATGAGTATATTTAATTAAATTTAAATAAAGAACAATAAATAAAAAATAGTATAATAAATAATTTACCATAGAGTTGTTTCGCCGTTGCTCGGTGCCATCCCGAGCATCCTTCTCGTAGAAGTTTCGAAACACTTGCACTCGAATTACATTTTTTCGTTCGCGACGAGCGGCGACGCCCAGGTTTTAGCTATTACAATTTACAATCTTTGACGCGTGGTATTTGAAGAGTGCAGTTCGAAGCTTCTACGAGGAGGAAGTCCGAGATGGTATCGGGCAACGGCGTAGCAATTCTATGGTAAATATTTAACTGTTCAATATTTATAGATTTATCAAATATTTTTACATATTTATAAAAAAATATTACCTAAATTATTTATAAAAAAATTAAATTTTTGCTTACAAAAGTTTATAAAAAAGTTTATATCTAAAAAATTTATTATAAAAATAATATAATGCTGTTATCAAATTAATTAAATATCTATTTAATAAATCAAATAAAAAACTCAATGTATATAATAATTTTATATTTCAAAATATCAATTATTTAAAATTTCACTAATAACTAATTCTCTATACTAATTTGCATGTATTTTACAGTTTGCAACTCCGCTGCTGCGCATCGTATTAGTGAGTCGCATCAATTTTTATTTAATAGGTAATAATGTTGTGAAAATCCTCTTCGATTTTGTTGAAACTTTACAATATTTATTTTTGTACGTGAAACACAAATCTTTAAATTAAAATCCGCCCTGCCCTACGAAGAAATCCATTGTAACTTTTTCCCTACTTTTGAAAGCGACAATTTTAAAATTAAAAAAGATTTGTGTTTTACACACAAAAATATACAATATTGTAAAGTTACGTAAAAATCAGAGAGAACGGAGTTCTTCAACATTACCTAAATTCGTACTGTTTTATAGTTATTTATACAATCTGTCTCGACTATTGTGCTGGTTACAATTTTTCATGATGTTGATCGCATATCATATTTGAATGCATTATGTACATAACGCGTTTGTTATAATAATTATTAATATATAAATTATATCTTTATAATAGTCGCGCTCTATATTAACATGACGTACGAACATATACGTATACATGTATATATATATTAATGTCGCATTTAATAGAAATTAATGTACTAGCAATCCATGTGCTTACATGTCTAAACGGATCAGCTGTATTCGTACTGTCGTATATCCCCTTACATTACATAGTAAACAAAGCGGCCAAGTCGCTTCCCCTTTCTCCACGTACGCACAGCTTGTTTGTACATTTTCAAAACAGTCTCTCGCTCTTGCTTACTACATTGACGATCGCAATGATTAAATCAATTTTTATAAATCTCATTATGTTACATCCGGATATGTTATTCACGCAATCAATCTATGTACAATACAGTACGAAAAGATAAATAATCAATTTATCTAAACCTAAATTCAGTTTATCTAATGAATATTACAACGCGTTGGTTAATTAACTAGTGATAAAAATTATTACATAATATATCAGCATTCAATATACATATCGTGTTTATATCGCCTTTAATAAAAATCAGCTCAAGTAAAAGAAAAATTCACACCGGGACAGTCGTATTTGATTTGCATCGTATACAAGTCGTAATCGCAAAATCGGAATACTAGTTTCATCGTTTTTATGCTCGTCACTTTTCTTGTCACTGTTCGTGATGCGTGCGAACTGTACTTATTATTTGTGATGTCAATAAATATTTGAATGTCCTATATTATAGATTATCATCTAAAAATTTTGAAATATTTTTTGCAATTTTTCTCAAGCTTATATTTTGCGCGTATTCATATTTATGACAAGTTCAAAGCTTATCACAATGATGCGCGGTAAATCTTTTTTATTATTGAATTGTCAAAAAATAGCAATTTTGAAACTAACAATAAAACATTTTGCCGTACGCGCGCGTCATACTGTTCTTTTTCTCGTGAAACATTTTATATAAATATTTAAAAGTTTTATAATTATTATGCTTTATAAAAAAATATTTACAAAAAGAAACATTTTATAAAGAATATATTATGCGCTATACTTTATTAAAACATGATTAAAGAATGAATACAAAATAGATAAAAATGGCATTATTTTATAAATATTACATAGTGCATAATGATTTTATTTCAACAAAAATTATAATTAGGTGACATTATCAAAATTAGCATTATACTTATAAAATAAATCAGATTCTATATATGGTATATGCCTCGTATGTATAATATGTAAATTAAAACATATACGTCAAATTAAAATCTATAAAGGTTAAAACATATATAAAATACGTAAAATTAAATAAAAAAATAAATAATTTGTAAAGCTGTTCTATACCGAATACTATTCATGATGTTTTTTTATAATCGTTTAGTATATTTCTGTAATATTTGAAATTGATTCTCAATCATCTGAATAATGCAGGCAGTTTAGAAATTTTGTTAGTCTTGCATCCTTTGATCTTGATTGACTATAGAGATTTTGCTATGTAGAGATCTTGTATCTTTTGCATTTAAGAAAAATAACGACTCGAGAATCTATGGGAAACGACGGGATTTGAATTCTTGATTCGGCAGATCGAGTGTCCAGGCATGTCCAAGTTCTCGTTTGCCAGTTCGAATTTTCTGAGGATCGGCGTAAAACGAGTCGAGGAATTTGTTTGTCGAACTTAACCAAGCCCACAAAACCGGTCGTGTATACCGATCGCGGCGGAGTGGCCGGTACCCGTCGACTAATTATAGCCTCCTATTTATTTTATTTACGCGTATGCGCACCCTTCGCTCTCATATATACGCGATACCGGAGCGCAGGGGGGAGAGAAGGGAGAAAAAGAAAGAGAAGGAGACAGAGCGATATAGTCATAAATCAAAATTCCATTTCAACGTTCTAACGAAGGATCAAATAAAACACTTTAATTGACATTTTTACGGCGGCCGGCAGCCGAAGTCGAACTCCTGCCTACACCCGGCCTGACCCTGTTGCGGTCTTTTTCGCTCGCCGGAATATGTACGCGTAGAAGAGCACGTGTCGTTCGACGTTTCGTTATCGTGCTTTTTTCTCTTATCCTTGAGCTGCTCCCTTATCTTGCGCGATCGAGCAAAAATACCCTCTCTCGTAATAGATATCTATGCAACCGCGAATGCGATGCTGCATCGTACTCGTAAAGTATTATGAAATGGTCAATTTTTTCAGTCAAATTTAAAAATACAAATGGACAAAAACTGCTGCTTTATTTTGGCATTATGAGACGAAAAAAATAAAAAATAAAAGATTCAGAATATTGATTTTCGAATGATGATAAAATAAAGATTTCCAATCAAGATGTCAAGATTTATAGGAATCGAAATACGAATATAAAATGAATCTTTTTTAAGATATTAATATCAATCATTAATTGATAAAATTAATATTCCATATTTTTTAAAGACATTGAAATAAAAATCCTTCGTACAAGTATAAAAATAAGTTGTGCCTTGATAGGAGATCTAAGATCGAGAGTCTCGGAAAAAAATAGAAAGTGGATTCGCGCGCGCGTAGAAATATGTTGAAGGAGAATATTAGGAGAGGGAATTGATTATATATAGCGTCAGAAGTTAAGAGTGCGTCGCCGCTGCGTGGCGGCCGATTATCAATAATTTCATGGTTTTTCGGACGAACCGGCGTAAACATAGAGAGTGACCGCTCGACCGCTTTAATATCGGTTCGATCCGATCAATAATAATAACAAAATATACGCGAGTCTCTTGTTCCGACGCTGATACGAGGGATGTATTATAGTAATTTTGTGGCGCGCGGTTTCCTTGTCCCAGCGCGATGATGCTCTTAGCCGCTGCTTAGAAATCATCAACAAAGTCATTTCGAAAATGTTGCCAGCTATTTTTCTACGTATTCTCCGAAATTATCAAAAGTTAAATACTAATAAAAATCTAACAATACCATCACTATACTGTGACAAATAAGTCAAGATACAAACGTAAGATGCAAAACATTTAAAAATAGAATTAAAAAATCTACCCTCTATATGTAGAGATATTGTTATAATTAAATTTCTTTTTATATATCCAATGATGCATCGAGTAGAATTTAAGATGTAAGATATATGTAATAAAGAACATTGAAAAATTTATCGCGTTTAATCGTAAAAGATTAGTTAAAATTCATAGTCACGACACTGCAAGTTTAACGACCATTTTCATGGTCGCCAGGATCGATACGCTGAAAATCGAGAGTTCACAATAATGGATAGACAGTCTTCTCACATTGCATTACGGGGAAAGAAAGTAAAGAGAAGAATTTATTACATATATTTCGATTCTTCAAATATCCATTCGATACCTCTTTAGATATGTAAAAAGAAATTAAGATGAAAAAGATATATAGATTAATATACTACTATGAGAGTTCAAATGTAAAACAATGTTGAAGAAAAAATAGAAAGATATAATGATGTGAACATTTTACTTATTCTTTTACTTTTTTATATTTATACCTTTAATTTAATCATTATTTTTATAAACCTTTAAAATATTTTTTTATTATGATCTCCTTATGATAAACTTTGATTTTCGAAAGAAATTAGTGATTGCATCTATTGTGATTGAAAATCC